AGGCGGTATTGTTTGAGTTCATATTTATCTAAAAGGGGAATAAAGCTAACAGCGCTGTTTCGGCGTAATGCCATCTTCAGAGCCTAAATATTGTTTAAACATATAATTTAATTAAAATAAATGCCTAATGTAAAATGTGAAAATATAGAAAATAAAATATGTATTAAATTGTGAAATAAATTAACCTTGTTGTAAATATCATAATAACTAAAGTTTATGTAGATTATATAAATAAAATAATGTAATTTAAATAAAATGTTTAGTAAAATAATTAAAATATAGAAATTTTATAAAAGTTTTAACATGTTTGAAAAACGTTAGTGAAAACTAATTACGAATGACATGTGCGCCAGATATATAATATTGCTGTGTATGCGTTGTGAATACAACTATTGCGGTTGAATATGTGTGATACGAGTTTCCACATCAGACCTACGGATACATAGTTAAATATAAATACATATATGTACATGCAAGATACATATCGATGTATAGATCAAGTATTAAGTATCACATAATACATCCAACGACGCAATGACGGTTGTCGGATGACGCTGGGTCACAAACTGCGTGTTGATGGATTTAACAGCTTCTTGGTCAAACAAACAAAAATATCAATTTCTTGCTAAAAAGAAAAACATATTTACATCATTTCACATAACAGTATTGTATCAAATTTGCTATGGATTTCAAGTCGCACGGGAGTTGATGGCAATGAGGAAACAGATAGATCAACAACAGCAGCATATACAACACCACCGATCTTTAATAAACTTTTACATCATGCAAATGTTAAAGAAGCTATATATTTTATTTAAAAGTTTTAACAAAATTGTAATTAAAAACACAACTTTCAAAATCATAATTAAAAAAAATTGATTCAACTAACAGACTTTTGTCAAATTTAAACTGATGTATTTAAGTGAGATTAAATAGGCTTATGATTTATCATACAAAAGAACCACAAATAGATGTTAAAGAAAGACTGGCCGCGATATGTTATGAAAGTAAGTTAAACTATAGGTAAGCTCATGTATGTAAGTGGATCGCAAAAAAGACGATCCCATTTCACCGGCATCATTCAACCGATTGATTAATTGACTGTAATTTGTAAACTGATTAAGGCGGTTAACGCTTAATTATTTGAGAATACTTTTAAATTATGCTATTTTTTGACCAAATTATTCACTTAAATCTCTAAGTTTGCAGATCTTAAAACCACTTTCACGTTGGTTAATGGCGGATTTCAGAAAAACATTTTAAATGGTTTTCATGACTAAATATTGCTTAAACCGATACACTAGAGTTTATTTGAAGGAATTGATTATTCTTCATAATAAAAATCTTTTGTAAAATTGCAATCACCTTATTATACCTTTTGTTATTAAATAAGTAAATAAATGAAAAAAATAAGAACTTCATCTTTCTAAACATTTGGTATTTTCGCACATCTGATATAACAAACAAACCTTTGCGGCCAGAGAAGAATTAGGCTCTTCAAAGAGTAACCACATTTTTGGCTTTATTTTCTGCCAGCAATTCAATTGACCTGCACCAATATTGAAAAATTTGATTGTCAATAAATTTTTGGGTCCAATTTTTGATAGGCGGCACATGAATGAAATGCAAACCATTGCAAAACAATATTGATTAGACACAGTGGCGAATGTAGACAACTTTAACGGAGTGAGCCAAGATTTTAAAAAGGTTAAAATTAAATTTTTTTTTTAATTTAACGGATGGCCAAGATTTGTGATAATGTTTCCAAAATTAGACTGGATACCTTTTTCAGTGCAAAAACTGAATTTTATTGACTCTTTGTACGAACCCAGCTTACAACAGGGGAGCATGAACCCCAGCCCCTAGATCCGCCACTGATTAGACATTTTATTAAATAAATGTTGTTCACAAATTTAATCTTTCCTGAAAAAAATTAAATTTACATAAATTCAAATTTAATTTAAATACAGTTTTCTGAATAACTAAATTATAGACCAGTTCTAAAGTTTTCTTCTTGGCCAAACTTTTTCATAATTTCTTCGTCAGTCGGTTTGTCGCTGTCTAAATCTAACCTTTAAGATTTTGTGTTTTATAAAACATCTACGTTCTTGTTAAAATAAGTAAAAATAATGATAATATTTATTATAATACCAAAGTCATGTTAATTACATTAATGCCAACTGACATCGTACGATTGAATGCTCTGTCTTTGATTTTCATTACAACATTGTGATAGTTAAAAAGTTTGAGTTTTTAATATTTGAAGCCTGTTTGCACTGGTAGAAAATAAGAATATTCGAATAGGACAACAACCTGTCGAGTATTTGTAGAGTTTCCCTGGTATCCCTGTGCGTTGTGTACGTCATCCAGCAGCATGGCTCCACCTAATTTTACAGTTAACATTAGAAGGATGCAGTCAGAAATGTTTCTTTAAATAAATTTGATTTTTTGAGGAGAATGTCATAATTTGTACAATGTAGTTCGTCTTTTGCAGTTGCCTCAAGGGAGTTGTTTGAAGATATATCGGCTTTGAAGTGAAGTCGTTCTCAACATTTTTCAAAATTATTTTAGTAAATTTGAAATAGTTATATATATATATATATATATATATATATATATATATATATATATATATATATATATATATATATATATATATATATATATATATATATATATATATATATATATATATATATATATATATATATATATATATATATATATATATATATATATATATATATATATATATATATACGTACAAAGCGTTAAATAATTTGACTAATACCATTTAAAACTGGTTTTTGCCGTTTATAAAAAAAGTATTTTTTAATAGTAAAAATTAACAAAATTGTTTGTCATATCATCGGAGTTAAAAGTCTCATTTAAAATGAATTTTAAAATGTGGTCGAAAATTATTTCCAATAATTAAAAGCGAAAAAATTTGTACTAATCAAAAAACTTTCAAAATCTACAAAAATGTCTCGAACTAAATTTTGAAAAAGTAATGAAAGTAAATGAGAAAAAATGGAAAATGTTAAGAATAACGAGTGAAAAATAAAAATAATTATCGTACAAATAGATATGCCTGCGATATTGCTAAACTTTTAGAACCATTGTTAAACAATAACTACAACATAAATATGAAATTTATCAAAAGAATCGAAATTAATTGTTTAATTTCAAACCTGGTTAGCATCAAGGCCCCAGAATTCCAACTCCTCCTCAAACAAAGGACCGCAGACATCTGTGGGATAATGCAACTTTCCTGTTCTATAATAATTCAAAACTTGAGCAAAAACTCCGGGATGACGATCGAAAAAATACTCGTTCAACACCGGGTCGTAATTAACGAGTGCTTCAGTTAGACGTGATAACCTGGTGGCTGGAATTTTTTTCAACGTGGCTTTGTATGTTTCGTGTCTTATTCCGCCAATGTTGAGGACGATACGATTTTCTACATCGGACATCGCAAAAATTTGTGATACTTCAATGATTTTTCTTCTCAAATCT